CTTGCTCTCCACTTCCTCCAGGGAGTGAATGGGAAGCAGCTGAGCAGTTCCCAAGGTGTTTGGAGGGCAGGGTGCACCTGTCTGAGGCTGTGAGTTTCAAAGCTCAGTTAAGCTGCTGGGTAAGAGTTCCTGTCCTTTGCTCGAGACTAGCTTGGTGCCCTCACGGATACATCAAAGGGGGCAGTTTACCACCTTCTGGATATAGGACTTACTCCCGCGGATGCCCAGATAACCACCACAGACCAGTTGCTGGCTACTCTGTGATGGTTGTTAGGTGGAGGCCTACATTCTGTCCTCTCTGGTGTCTGGAGATAATCACCTCAGACCAGTTGCTGGCCGGCCTGTGCTGGTGGTTAGGGGGTTAGGTACATGTTCTGGATACCTTCTGCCTACATTTTGCAGTGAGGCCTGGTATCCTTCGGCTGGCTTTCCTTTGTGTGTGGGACCCCACAGGGAGCACAGTTGAAGCCACAGCACTTCTTACAGTCTTGGCTTTGCAACCTCAGGAGGTCACTCTGCCACCTGACGCCTTAGGATTGGACTGATTCAATCTTCTAATAAGAAGAATGTGTAATATGAACATCCTCTCAACTTCTATTGCATAAAACATGTGGCTTCTTGGCTAAGGGGTATGTAGAATTCAAGAAAAATGCAATGAATCCACACCCAGCTTGCTTATTACATACAGAACTATGTGCCACACTAGAGAATACATTTTTTAACTTTTATTTTTATTTCACATGTATGGGCATTCTGCCTACACATATGTGTATGTACCACATGAGTCCAGTGCTGATGGAGGACCGAAGAGGACAATGGATCCCCTAAGACTGGAGTTACGGATGGTTGTGAGCCACCCTCTGGGTGCTCGGATCGAACTTGCATCCTCTGGAAGAGCAGTCAGTGCTCTTAACTGCGAGCCATTTCTCTATTGTATATATGGAACAGTTTAGCATTAGCTATTACAGCAACATGCAGGGTGGTGTCTTTGAAAACCAGGTGAGTATGTGGGAATTGGTGACAAAGTTCTCAGTGAGTCTGAGCAGTGTGGGTGAGAATTCCTGGAAAGAAGCTGTGTCTGCAAAGGCTGACTGGCTACAACCACGGTGAGGTGAAAAGGGTAGAAGGTTGCAGGTTTAGAGTCAGATTATCTTGGAGCATCTTTGGCTTCTTTAATAATAACCATGCATCGTTAAATGGCCTGACCTCTTCGGTGGCCATTAGGAAATTCCTTTGGGCTGGATGAACAGACCCCTATCCACCCACCAATGGGCTAAGAATGCAGTCAGCCAGCGCCGAGGCCTGGAGCAGCGCCTTCCCGAGTCTGGAGCCACCTGCCTGATGCACCCATAAGTGTATTTGAAAAGTGTGTTGGTTTCTGACTTTCTCTGTACTACCTCTTTGGAACATGGCATTGGGGGAGACCTAAATCTGAGTTCTGGGTCATCGTTGCTCATATTTGGCTCCAGAATAAGCCGTTTCTTGTGTCCCTCTGAGGCGAGAACTCTTGATTTTGCTGACACCAGCCACCTGTCATGAAATCTTCTACTCAAATAAAAACAATTTCTCTTTAAAAGGCATATGCTTATAACATATCGTTAAGCTCTTGGGGGGCAGAGGCAGGAGAATCTCTGTGAGTTTGAGGTCAGGCTGGTCTATACAGCAAGTTCCAGGCTAGGCAGAGCTACACGGTGGGACCCTGTCTCAAAGTAAACAGTAACAACAACGAAAACAAATAAAACCAAACAAAATCCACCAAAGACCCCGAGCTATCCAATAGACTCTTGGAGGAAGCAGCAAGACGGTTTTGGCAATCGGGTTTAAGGTAAATATAGGGAATGAATAAAGCTTCATATAGCAGAGACAGATAATACAATGTTACCTAAGACCATGATTTGTAGATGTCAGGATCGTGAGTCACACCACATGGCTAATTTACCTGCTATCAGCCCAGGGCTACAGGGAAAGAAAGGTGGAATTCAGGATGTTGCAATCAGAGCTTCCTGAAGGAGCTCCCAGCGGGACAGAAGGCTCAGTTGATGGGGTATGTGGGTAGGAAGGTGGGGGGAGGGCAGGCTACTGTGAAAGGGAACTGGAAAACTCCACCCAGCGGAGCTGTCCGGCTGTTTCTGTCTTCCCACCCTCCCCACCATCCTTGTTGTCATAGGTAGTCATTTATCAGCCTCCCCGTCCACCCCAGCATTGGCCAGGACAACTGACAAGGTGTCCAAAAAGATGACACGTAGTGCCGCACTAGAAACAGATGCTGTGTGGGTGTCTTTATTCAAGGTCAGAATTTACGAACTGGCAGAAGGGTTACAAGGTAAATAAGTTTCTCTAGCCTCACTTTACCAAATAGTCCTGAATTCCCTTGGTAGCTGTCAGAGACAAGCACAGATTCTTTCATTCCAACTGATCACTACTATCAATTCTCAGATCAAATATCAAAGACCACATCTATCTATCTATCTATCTATCTATCTATCTATCTATCTATCATCTATCTATCTATCATCTATCTACTTACGTAGGTCACAGAATGGCTACAGAAGGGTTAAGTGCTGAAGAGTTCTAAGAAATCAAGGCGGGCTCACTGGAAGCAGAAGCAGAGAGGGCTGCAGGTGGAGAGATAAACAAACCCAGCTGGAGGCTGCAGAACGAAGCTGTAGGGTTGTAGGCCCTGGAGGTAAGATGCAGGACCAGGTCTGGGTGGGTGGACAGATAGATGGACAGGCAGGTGGCACTTTGAGGAGACCCCGGTCCAGCAGCAGGCACTGAGCTAAAGTCCTAGAGACAGCCTCTGGCTTCTGCTTCTTTGGTACACACACACCCAGGAGTCAGAGGACCGGCACAGCTAGAGTTGTCAGCTGCCAGGTTTGGGAATTCTCCTCTTTATAGGGTCTGGATGAAGCTGCTGTATCTTCCATCAGTCTGGTGTGTTTGGTAAGTTCTGAGCCCTGATTTTTAATACACCTGATTTTTAATACACCCGCTTCTGTGTTTACAAAGTGGAGCCAAGTGCTCCTTGTAAAACGGGGTTGCCAAGGGCATGATGTAGCCTTAATGCCACTGTTCACTTAATATGGAGTGACTTGGGGCAGGGCACAGACTGACGGATACAATGCAAAATCTCCCAGAGTTAAAGTTCAAACAGGTGGAGGATGACTGGTTTTGAGGGCTCAATGGCATCTCCATGGTTCTCCACGCGCACTCTGGGGCCGTGGGTCCTGGAAGGCTGGTGTCACTTCACCTCCCTCTAAGGCAATGCTGCTTCCCTTGGAAGTCTGAGGGTGGAGGGCTCATCTGTAAGGACAGGTCCCAAAGGGAGGGACCAACCACAGCTCTGGATGCTATGGTTTTGTGTGTAAATTTCATTCATGATAAATCTGGAACTTCAAAACTATGCTCAGAGTGACTGGTCTCCTAGTCGTGGTCTGCCTATTTGTATTGAAGCAAGTGGTGGGGGTGGAGGGAGTAGATAAAGTCATCCTGTACGTGAAAGGAGCTGTACCAGTCAATGGGCACACAGTACTTAATAAGGGGACATTCTTAACTTTATAATGGCAAATTTGAAAATATAGAAGAAATGGCTTTCTAAAAGCATTCTTATTTAAAAGTGACTCTCCCCCAAGTACAAACACAGCTTCAACAACCTTGTTAAGTTAAAAATGATTTATTGTTGATGTGTTGGATAGGGCACTGCCACGGTCCCTGTGGGGGTCAGAGGACAACTTTATGGAGGTGGCTCTATCTTTTCATCTTGATGTGGGTTCTCGGAATGGAGCTGAGGTACCCAGGCTTGCTTGGCAAGTGCCTTAATCTGCTGAGTCATCTCAAAGGCCCTGCTAGGAAATCTGGATGTCGCAATTGTGCAATAAATGTTTCCCAGATACAAAATAAATACCGACATTGGAATCTGTTTCCCAAACACATTTTAGGGTGTGTGATGGTTGCTTTTGATTAGGTTAGGAAATGCCCTGGAGGTTGGTAAAGCTCACTCTGGGGGCATGCCAAGAGTGATGTTTGCACACTGTTAGACTCCAAGTTTCCTAAGTAAACGATGGATTTGTCCCCTGATGGAGTCACAGTCTGATGGCATTGGTGGACATTGCTGGGTGGCAGAAGATTGCCAGGAGTGAGCCACTGCGACCTTCTCTCGTGCTGACCTCCCGCTGTGTTTCCTGTCTCCCTATGCTCCTCCAACACCGGAGCTGTTAGCAGTGGGGTCCAGGCCTTGGTTCCCACACCAATAGTAATAGTGAAAAGAGAACAGAGTAGATGCGTTCGCAAGACCGCGATGGGAAGAGGAACAGATTACCGCTTGAGTTCCTGCCCTGACGTCCTTCAGTGCTGGACTGTGGTGTGGAAGTGGAAGTGAAATACACCTGATTCCTTCCCCAAGTTGCCTTTAGTCCTGGTGTTTTAGCACAGAAATAGTCACCCTAGCAAAGACAGCGGGTATAGGCCTGGGCTCAGCTGGGTGTGATCAAAATCCTTGGCCACTGGAGGCCGTGCTCAGCCAGCAAGGGCGGCTCAAGCTGCCAGAGGCCTGCTTTGCCGGCTTCTTCTTTCTTGGCACTGCCACGCTTTCTGCACGGCGGCTTGTCTGTGAAGTCGCCACTAGACATAGACACGTCTTCTCTCTATCCCACACAGATCAGCAAGACCCTCTCCTGCCAGGGATGAAGACTAAAGCACACATTCCCGGTGTGTGTGTGTGTGTGTGTGTGTGTGTGTGTGTGTGTGTGTGCATGTGTATGTACTGTATGCTGCTTACTCTTTCTCAGACCTTGGTGGGGAGGGAGCCTGCTTCCACACTGTTCAAGGGTGAGACCTCACCAGCAGAGGGCAGAGGAACCAAGGAAGCTATGCATATTATCTGGCCTGCAGCATTTTAAACATGCCCGTTGAAAGAGAAAGCAAGAGGGAATCTAGAGACTGTTGTTTTGGACCAAAAGCTGTCAAGAGCTCCTCCCTGCCCCCCCCCCCCTGCTCTTGCCCTCTGTTTGGAGGTGTTGTGTAGATAGCCGGGTTCTGGCCTTGTTGAGCAAGTGCTCTGCCACTGGGCTATAGCCCCAGCCTGAGGTGCAAGACATCAGCCATCAGCATGTTTCATTTTTATCTTTATTTTTATATATATGGGTGTTTTGCCTACACGTGTGTCCGTGCGCCACATCCATCACAGAGGTCAGAAGAGGGCATCGGATCCCCCTGGAACTGGCTTGTGAGTTGACATGTGTGTGCTGGGAATCAAACTCGAGTCCTCCGGAAGGGAATCTGAGCTCTTTAACTGCTGAACCATTCTTCCAGAGCCATGTGACTCTTACGATCACAAGAGCTCTCAGTAATGAGGGGGGAAACTGGTGAGGGGTTTTGTGATGTTGCGGGAGGATTCTAGCCTGCCGTACATGGGCTCTCAGATGAGTTCTGGCAAGAGGTGGGAAACTGAGGACCTGGAGGGAGGGCTTCCCCTCAGCCCAGGTGTGATTGATTGAAACCTCCAACCCCAGAGCAGAGCCCTCCTAACTGGCGAAGGTGCTGAGAACAAGTAATTGTTGGATGTTTTGCCCTAAGCAAGCATCTGTACCGCTGCATCCAGGTTTGAGAACACTGTGGAGGAGGAGGCGGAAAAAACGCAGAAACCAAAGGAAGTGGTAGAGTGTTGGAAACCCTCCTCAAGCCATGGTATGGTTCTTGCACTCTAATTCTTAGCAGATGGGACAACCGATCTGCGTGAGGTCAACAGAAGGATCGAACTAAGGTCCTCGGGGGCAAGAGCAGCCAGTCAGTGCGCTAATCTGCTGGGACACCCCCTCCAGCCCTCTTGCGAGTCTTTCTTTGTTTAACTTGACCAATACATAACTGGGAGAGGGGCCCCACACTATACCACCAGAACCATTTAAAAGACCCCAGCCTTCCCAGGGGGTTGGATTCCAGGTTCTGAACCGCTTCTCTGCTTTGTGGGTATTCTCTGTGCCTGTTGCTGTCTACTGGGTCTGAGACTTCCCCCCTGCCTTTCAACTTTTTAATTGGCAGAGAAAATGAATCTGATCAAAACTCCTCAAGGGTAACTGCAAGCTCACTTTCTTTTGTCCAGCCCTGGAGCTCTGCTGGGTGAAGACTAGAACTGGACAAGGCTTGGTATACTAGTGTCCCACTGTGCTTATTTCAGGTCGCTGATATCCCAGGGCAAGGGAGCCTGTCGGGTTATCTCCACAGCCTGGTCTTGCTGTTTGGCTGTTCTCTGAAGATCTTCAGTAAGTCAGCTCTTCAGTAAGTCAATGCCTGAGGGTCAAGCTGTCCACATTCGAGTCGAAGTGTTATGTAAACAACAGCAATGGTCTGGGGTCTCAGATGCTGCGACCTCCCAGCTCTGTGGGGCATCGCTGGAATGGAGACCCTCTGAGTTGCTCCCACAATGAGTCTGCCTGACTTTAAAAGCTCACAGGGTCCCTCTGAAGCGTAGGTAGAGATGGCCCTTACTGCTGAGCACACAGCTCGGAGGCTTGCAAAGACCCATTGGTCAAGGCAGTGAGGAGCGCAGTGGTGGAGTGGGGAGCCAGCTGGGTAATGTGAGAAGAGTGGGTCACGGCACCTCCCCCACATTTGAAGTAATTTTGTCCCTGAGGCCCTGGAAACTGCAGGCCTGTGTGGGGAGGGGCTGTTGGGTAACCTTGTCAGTGCTTTTGTGGCTGATCTTTCTCCTTGGTAATGGGCGGTTCCAGGCGGATGGGTCAAGGCTGTCAGGCCCCACACTCTTGACCTCCCTAGCAGATTTCCCCAGTCCTTCAACAAGCAGGTGGAGAATTTTGCACATTTTAAAGTTCTACTTCCCTCCTGATTAAACATTGTACCTTGGAATCGTTTTTCCCTCTCTCCGTTCTGTTCTAAGCATTCAGCAGCACCAACCTGCACCTGCTACACGGTGTTCAACCATATCTTCTGCTAAAAATCTACTTATTTCTTGCAAGTTCTAAAAATACGAGGGCAGGAACAGAATTAGATCGAGTTTTTTGCCGCTTTATGACAAGGGTAACCTTCCCTCCTGTCTCCAGTCTCATGCTCCCCATTCTGCAACCCCTTTGAGTCTTTGCTGTCGTTCTTTTCCAGTCATGTGATCGTGACCATGTCTTGATTCCTGAGTCTTCCCTGAAATCAACCTTTAAGGTGATGAAGAGTCAAGGCTTAACCATAGGTTAGCTTGGCTCTGAAACCTAGGCACTTCCTCTGGGCCCTGCTTTGTTAGTGTATCAAGAGACTCCACCCTCCTATCTGACTAAGTTTCTCATATGTATCCTTTAGGTGATGTCTAGGCACCCTGGCCTGCCAGAGTTCCCTGCATCTTGATGTTTTCTCTTTAGGTTTTCCGTTCTTTGACTCCCCTGTTCTTTGGCTCTCAACCCTTAGTCCCCTATTCGTTCATGTTGAATTAAGAACTGAGACCAATTCCCCCCTGCCTCCGCACACAGTCCCTCATGGGTGGGCCCTGCACTTGCTTGGCCTTTACTAGAGTCTGCCTTGCTACCTTAATAAGTGTCATGGATTAACTTTCTCTGTCTCTCTGAATTCATCCTACTGCTCCGACTGACCTGACCTGTCCATCCTCTTGCCTCAGTCTCCAGAATGATGAGATTACACCTGTATACACCATACCACACTAATTTTTCTTTAACAAAATTCTGCCTGTAGCTCAGAATTCTCCATCACCCGTTCCCACATGTCACACATCTGTTACAGCGCCATCCCATTCCTGACACCAATTGGCCCAGCCCTTCAGGCTTTCACAACACAACATTAAGACTGGGCAGAGTATAACCTGCAGGAGCTGATGACACAAAGCTCCGGAGTCTGCAAGCCCCAGCTAGAAGCCTCTGCAGATCTAAGGCCTGGCAAGGGCTCGCTCCACATAGTTAAAGGGACAGGAGGCCCTTGGGGGTCTGTCTAGTGGCCACCTACTCCATCCTTGGGTCGGACATGAATGTGGATGGCTCCTACAGAAGGCTCTCTGGAAGTGTGGTCTGAGCTGCATACTGTTGATGCCACAGAGGGGACAGAAAGGCAGTTGCACAAAGTGGACTCTTTTCCCTGGTTCTGCCTAGAATCAGGTATCATCCCAGGAGTCCTTGGCCCTTGGGAGGGATGCTGCCACACTCCAGGAGTTACTGTCTTGAACCCCTGCCAGCACTGAGACCCTCTGCACTGTTGACGTTGCCCGGAGGAGCTGTTTGACCTCCACTGTGGTTTGGATAAGCACCAAAGGCCACTTGTTGCGAGCTTGTCCTCTCCTGTGTCGAAAACTCATACAGACTCACCACACGTGCATAGCGCAAACTCCAAGGGCAGCTGAATGTGTTACGAGGCCTTGGACACACAGAAGGACCAGTCACCCTGGCTGTCTTTAGGATGAACTATGTCCCCCTCCGGCTAGTCAGACCTTCTGCCGAGACCTCATGACCCAGCATCCTGAGAATGTGCCTGTGGCAGGTAGGTGGACCGCATTTGGCCCTACAGAAGTGTGATATCCTTGGGGTTGGGGATAAAGTTCACTGGGTGCAGCGCTTGCTTACCACACACAGGGCTCCATCCCTGGCACTGTGTAAACTGGGCATGGGGATCTACAGCTTTGAATCCTAGCACTCGAGAACGAGAGACAACACGAAGCCTGTGGTAGCTGCTCTGCCCAGCATGAGCGAGGCTAGAAGCCCGATGACCACCCTCATCTATGAAGCACCCGTCCCTCGCCTCAGGGCCCCCATTCACCCACTTCCACAGTCCCCTCCCCCACTGAGCAGAGTGTAGGAGCCCACTCCCACAAGTCAGCTAGGGTTCCTGGTTCTTCGAGGCCAAAGAAGAGTCAGAAGAAACAGAAGACAGGATAGAATCGGAAGGTTTGTCTGGTCATGCCGAAGCAGCCAAACAGCCCCGAGTTTATTTCAGAACTTGCTTATATCCAAAAACAGAACAAAGCACAGCACAGACAGTCAGCCGGTATCTAATCACAAGACCACTCCTATCCTTGAGTGAACAGCCTCCTCTCCAACACGTGCTTGCTGCTGGGAAGCAGCCTTACTTTATCTTGATGTTCCTGAGGTTTGTCGTCAGCGGTATACTTTCTACTAGATAGAAAGTTCCTTTCTTTTCTTACGGGATAAATCAGAAGTTTATCACAGCCCTCAAGGTTATTGGAAGAGGCAGAGCAGGCAAGCTTGAACTCAAATGACTTCTTTAAGTCAGAAATGACTCCAGATGGAAACTGAGTCACAAATGGGCTCCCACAGCAGAGGATCCCTTTCAGTTCTGTCAGATCTGACCCCATCTCTCCTTGGTCTCATGCCCCCATTCTGAAGCTGCTTAGGGCAAGGGGTGGGTCCCACCTAGGAAGGATAGCTGGGAAGAGCAGGCAATGGCCTGGACTCTGTCACAGTGTCGCTGAGGGACTGGTTGTCCCTTCTAGACAAGTTTTCTGGAAGCTATTCGCTGCATTGGTGACCAGTGCCTCCTCTGGGAGGAACTGTCCTGTAGACATTGGTAGAGGGCACAGTGCCAAGTAAAGCACTCATTCCTTTCCCGAGGTCCCCAGACTCCCACCTCTACAGCCTGTTCATACCATCCTATTCTGGTGGAATTGGAGGCAGCCCACTGAGGGCCTGGCTTCTCACCCAGAGGCCAGAGGCCACCAGCAAACTCTCCTAGCCCCACCCCACCTTGGTCCTCTGGGCATATTCAAGTGCTGTTAGGACCCTTGTTTTTCTTCCTTGCTAGGGTTGGTTTTCAAGCCCAGGATGAGTAGGGAATCTGGCACGGAAGTCAAAAGTTCCAAAGGTCCAGTTCTGAGGAAAAGTGTGTGGGGGGTGCCAGGGTTCTACACCCTCCACTGACAGGATATGTGGCCTCCTTGGGTAGCATTTCTTGATCACGACACCCACCATATTGCCATACACGCACTCTCTCCATCTCTCTCTGTCTCTCCCCCTGTACATTACATGTATAAACACACCACCCACAGCATACATAGCCCCACATGCACACACACTTCCCACATGTGTACCTCATTATACAAACACACATCCTACCCTCATCTTACACATTGGTAGGCTTTCCAGGCAAGTGTAAGTGTTAGCCACAGCTGGGCCAAGGAGGGAAGTTAGACCACCCACCCATGCCACAGGAAGAGGGCTGGGCTCTGGCCACAGTCGTTCTGGTGTCCGCTTGTGCTGCAGGTCCATCAGGAACAGGCATTGAAATCTAGGACACTGGGAGGGATCCTTCAAGACCCAAGTCAGCCGGTCTCCCTGTGCTTGCTGCTGTGTGAGGATGCACCAGGGCTTCCCTTGGTGTGTGTGTTCTCTGGCATCTGGGCAAGAGGGCTGCACTTAAGACTCCGTGTCTAGGTTCTGGGCACGGACCTTTCAGTTCACAGACGGGTGAGGAAGTGCTACCATCCAGAATGCAGCTCAAAAACTTTGATGTGGGGATTTAAAATGAGAAGGAAAAAATTTTAGGATCTAAGGTGACAAAGGCCAGGATGTGACAGAGAGGACTCCTTGCCAGACCGCAAACCTGCTCTCCATGTGGGTCTCAAGCAGCCCGGCAGTGGCCATACTAATCTCTGTCCCTTATGTAACAAGTCACATTTGGTAAGCAGTAGAAGAGCATGCAGAAACCCCGAGCTATTTTTATGACATCTCTGTAAGTGTGAACTGATTTTGAAACTGAGACAGTGCAGGCAGGGGACTTCTGGGAGCTTCTGACTCTGGTTTTCTAGAGGAAGGAAATGGTGTGGGCACATGGGAGGTTGAATGGGATCTGGCTACCAGGTCAGCGGAGAACACACAGCTATGATACACACGGTGCACAAGGTGTTCTGCAAAGCCCAGGCCGGCTGCACCCACAGACAGGCATGTGGGCTGGTCCATCTCAAGCCAGAAAGTCAGTGTCTGAGGCGAGAACGGACTCCCTTGGAGTGTGAGTGCATATTCGCGTGTACGCATGTGCACACACAACACACACACACACACACAAATAAATTGATGCAAACAATTTTTTAAAAAGAGAAATTTTCCCTCTGAGACTCAGATTTAAGAAATATAGGGAAACTTCTTTATACGTTAAATGAGAGAAAATATTTATCTATTAGGTCAATATGTTTAAATATAGTCACATGATAAATTCCAAAGATGGTTGTGTGTGTGGAGGTATGTGGTGGGTATGTGAGTGTATGAGTATTTATTTGTATGTGCAAGTGAGTATGTACACATATGCAAGTAGCTATGTGCAAGCTGTATGTATGTATGTATATGCCTGCATGTCTGTTCATGTATGTGCACATGCATCTGAGCAGGCGTGTTTGATAGCTCCATTTCAAGGGTGGTTCTCAGCAGGCTCTACCCTGTGCCCCTCTGGTGTCTAGAATATTGTGCTGTGGAATTGGATGCCTGGGTTCTATGCTGGCTATACCTCTGCCTGACTGCTTGGCTAGGGGAGGTGCCCCAGCTCTTCGGCCCTGGGAGGGAACAGAGCCGCCCAGGCTAGGACTGAGGGGAAAACACTGAAGCTAAGCTTCCCGCATAACAAATGACAGGGGCTGCTATTAACCCCTATTGGAACTGAAGGCCATTGCAGGACAGGGGCTTCTGGGAAGCATCTATTTCTCTGGATGGCTACCTTGTGCCGCTAGGGGGACCCTGAACTTTATGTCTAATGGCGCTCCCAGGCTTCCGAATGCTTCTGGTATCCAGCAGACACTGGAGTGCTGGTCCTGAGGCTGGAACTGAGTGGGCTGGAGGGCAACCAACCAGTTAGCACGCTTTCTCCCTGGGCTTCTGTAACAGGAGTGCGAGGCGAGCAAATCCAATTCCTCCGTATCCACTGGGTGGTGCCGGTGTGAGTGTGCTTGTGAACGTGGGTGTGAAAGGGAGCAAGCCCGAGGCTGGACCCTGATTACACTGGTGGTCAGTCGTCACGCCCATTCTCCCTCTGGAGGAACTCTGTGCGGGGATGGTAGGTCCTTACAGCCAAGCCCACAGGACAGAGGGTCTAAGGCTAAGCCGGAGTCTCTCACCACTGTTGTTGCTCCTAAATTTCTCAGGGCATTTGTTCTTGGTTGCAGCAGGTTACACCCTTCACCCCTCTCTTGAGGAGCTCAGTTAGCTCAGCCCCTCCCTGGTATGTTTAGGGCAGGCCACCTTTGGAGCTCTTACAGAAGGTCTCTCAGGAATGGGAACAGCCCTTATAAGGTACTATGACCTCATTCCCCACGGGAGATGAGACATTAGCCTGGGATTCCTAGGGCTTCCTCAGCCCTGCTGCTGCCTTCCCTGTACACAGCCCACTGCCGGTGAAGACCCTCATTAAGGGTCTCTTTCTTGGTTCCCAGACAGAGATGGGGATATGTCCTTCTTCCATAGGTTGGGGTGCCTCACAGCAGAGTTTCTGGACCTGTTGTCCCTCTTGACTTTTCCGTAGACTCTGTCTCCAGCCCTGCAATGGAGGGATGAGATGCTTCACTGCCTTGGGTCCAGTCCGTTCTCAGCTCGCTTTCAGAGCAGAGGCTCTGGTCTGGTGGACACTGTGCAGTTCTCTCTTTGACAGACAGTACTGCAGGTCCAGGTCTAGGGCCTGGGACACAGGCACGTGTATCTAGATTTCCAGCTGTGTCCCCGACAGCCCTGTGCAGTCACTGAGCGGCTGCCTCTAGCCCCTCCGCAGACAGACACTTTGGCCACTCACTGCCCACTTCTGGGTTCCAGAAGACCCACCGGCTTCCAGATCAGCCACGTGGAAATGCCTCAGACTCGCAGGCTTGCTCCACCATTTAATGGGGCAGATGGTGGCTGTACCTGTGGAGACCATATCTTGAGGGGTCCGTCTTGAGGCCTGCCCTAGACTTTGCTCTGACACAGCAGTGGTCCCCTTCCTAAAGGGGTAGCTGACCCTAACCCAGGGTGATTCTCGAGAGCTACCAAGTACCGGCCTCAGCACTCTCTCAGACTTCAGAACTGGACTTCTATGGCTAGCGAAGACTGGCTCGGGAACCGGATCTGAGGGCTAGAACACACTGACTGACTTTGGCACGTTTTTTCCTGCGTGTTTATCCCATGGGGGAGGATGAGCGTAAGGGTATAAGGCATAAAGGTAAAAGAGGCAAAGCAGAGGATTAAAAACGGGGGTGGGGTGGGGGGTGATCTCCACAAAGCTTTCAGTTTACATAGGCATGCAGACATGGTAACAATCCCATCGGTGGTAACAATAGTATCAAGCACACATCTTCACAGTCACAAAAAACTGTGGATCTGGCAAGGAGGCACCTATGTCTCAGAGGGGGCGTGGCTGTGAAGTTCTCCGCAGCTGGGAACACAGCATTGGGGGCTATACCAACCTGCGGGCTTGATTTGCATGAGGGTCTAGCTGGTTGAGTTAAAAGGAATCTCTTCTGGGAACTTTGCTTTTGATTCCAGCAGGGTGCCCAGGTGGGAATTTTTCTC